GCCTTTTACTACAAAGGAATGTTTTCATGCAGAATGGTTGTTGATAGATTTTAAAATTATTTGTGACAATGCACAGTATGCTTATGAAGCAAATTATTAGACTCTGTCAGTTGTTATAAAGTTATTTCCTATCAAGGAAAACATTTGAGCTTTAAAGTCAACAAGCTACTATGGATACTAACAGTTTAATCTTTTATGAGCATCTAGCTCCTGTTACACAGTACCTTGCTTCACAGCTGGATTGGACCTTGTTGTCTTTATGTCCTCTTGTCCTCCAGGGTGTGATGTTTAAACACTCTGTATCACTTGTCAGTGTGTTGTTTTGACATCACTTAGTGAGTTTGTGTATCACTCTTGTAAGCAAGTCCCTCCTTCCCTATACTTTCGCAGGCACTCCTTCAGAAGTCTTGCATTTAACTCCCTTTTCCTGAGCTTGCATGCTTTTCGGTGTCTGCCTGCTTTCAGAACTGCTAGGAACAAATTTGTGTCTTCCAAGCTGGCCCTACTGCCAAGTCAAACTGCTACGATAGAAATGTTCGGAGAAAAGGAAATAATCGCAGGACCCGTTATGGTTCTGTTACTTGTCTGACTATGAGAAAATTCATTTCGCAAATGATACCTGCATCCAGTTGCAAAAATAATGATAGCGCTTTATAAAATAATTCATTATTACTTATTATGAACTATTACTGGATAATTTGTGAGTCATCCAAGATTGCTAACACGTGCTCAAAAAAAAAAAGCACTGGAAGTGCCTGTGACGCCTATGATGTAATGCAGTTTGGACTGGATTATGTACATGCAGAAGGTGGGGTAGGCAGTTGAGAACAGACTCTAGTGGGGATTGCCTTTTCAGATCACGCGTGGGAGGCTTGCGTGACGTTGCCTGAGTACTTGCAGTCCTTCCTCTCCATCCTGGCTGCTGCTGCAGGGTGGGGAGCCCAGCCCAGGGCACTGTGCCCGTCGCTAGCGGCAGAGGAGCTTTCCTGGGGTGAGCTCACTCCTGTGGCACTGTCAGCATGACAGCTAGCCATGTCTTGGTTACTTGGGTAATTATTATGACTAGAGGTAAATGTCATGTTTAGCTATTAGTTGTAATATTGGCCATGTCTGTACCAAATGTTTCTAGTACAATAATTACTCCCATAACCTTATGTGTATTTGTAATTTATGTATAAAATTGATCCTGTAATTGTTTAATATTTCATTGATTTATTGTTGAAATCGTAAGATGAAGTTAGCAACATTTTGGGAAAATATAAAACAATTATTCTATTTAAACAATTCAAATTGACATAGTCTTTTTTCTCCTTGGTATTTTTATGCACATGCACACAAACAAGTGAAACCCACTGTGAAACTACAGAGTTTAAACACGCAGACGTTTATACACTAACATAGTAGAACTGTCACTGTTTATTAACCAAATAGTACTGATGCAATGGTAATAAGTAAAAATAGAAAAGTACACGCCAAGGGGAGTAGAAAAGCAATTCAATTTTTCCATGTATGTCACATTTGGAAATACTGAATCCATGTAAGTTCAGCCACTGTCCCAGTTGTGTTCAGCTTTTAGAAGATACTCTTTGCTTCTGTTGGTTCATATCTTAGTTTCCCTCCTGAATTATAATACCGTGAACTGTAAACTCCAATGCAGATAGATGCACAAAGAAGCAAAAATAATTAAGTGCTTAGAATTCTGAATGTGTGTAATTGCAGTTTAATCTTAGTATAACACACCCTCAGAAACTCTGAGGAAATCCTCTTTATGTGGGGATGGTTTGTTATAACACGGTCTGAAGTTTATTGTGTTACAGTAATGAAAGTGCCCAGCCAATATATTGATAGACTGATAGATAATCTACTTCTATGCAGATTACTTCATATTTATTAACATTTAATAGCATTCTAAAATTAAAAGAATACAAAATAAAAAAGCATGGGGTGGAGACACAAATGAATCTTTGCATACACAGAATCACAGAATATTCAGGGTTGGAAGGGACCTCTGTGGGTCATCTAGTCCACCCCCCCTGCTGAAGCAGGGTCACCTACAGCAGGTTGCACACGACCTCGTCCAGGCAGGTTTTGAATATCTCCAGAGAAGGAGACTCCACAGCCTCTCTCGGCAACCTGTTCCAGTGCTCCGTCACCCTCGGAGTGAAGAAGTTCTTCCTCATGTTCAGCTGGAACTTCCTATGCTTCAGTTTGTGCCCATTGCCCCTTGTCCTGTCGCTGGGCGCCACTGAAAAGAGTCTAGCCCCATCCTCCTGACACCCACCCTTAAGATATTTATAGGCATTTCTAAGGTTCCTTCTCAACCTTCTCTTCTTCAGGCTAAACAAGCCCAGCTCCCTCAGCCTTTCCTCATTGGAGAGATGCTCCAGGCCCCTAATTGTCTTTGTCGCCCTCCGCTGGACTCTCCAGTAGCTCCTCGTCTTTCTTGAACTGGGGAGCCCAGAACTGGACACAATACTCCAGATGGGGCCTCACTCGGGCAGAGTAGAGGAGGAGGAGAACCTCCCTCGACCTGCTGGCCACACTCTTCTTAATGAACCCCAGGATCCCATTGGCCTTCTTGGCAGCCAGGGCACGCTGCTGGCTCATGGTCAGCTCCTCGTCCACCAGCACTCCCAGGTCCCTCTCCACAGAGCTGCTCTCCAGCAGGTCCGCTCCAAGCCTGTAGTGATGCATGGGGTTGTTCCTTCCCAGGTGCAGGACCCTGCACTTGCCCTTGTTGAATTTCATCAGGTTCTTGTGCACCCAACTCTCCAGCCTGTCCAGGTTTCGCTGAATGGCAGCACAGCCTTCTGGTGTATCTGCCACTCCTCCCAGCTTTGTGTCATCAGCAAACAAATCTGTTGTCCACTCATCTAGCCCACACTTCCTGAGCTTGCCTATGAGGATGTTATGGGAGACAGTGTCGAAAGCCTTGCTGAAGTCGAGGTAGACAACATCCACTGCTCTCCCTTCATCTACCCAGCCAGTCATGTCATCATAGAAAGCTATCAGATTTGTCAAGCGTGATTTCCCCTTGGTGAATCCATGCTGACTACTCCTGATAACCTTCTTTTCCTCCATTTGCTTGATGATGACCTCCAGAATGAGCTGCAACATTGTCTTTCCAGGGATGGAGGTGAGGCTGACCAGCCTGTAGTTCCCTGGGTCCTCCTCCTTTCCCTTTTTGAAGACTGGAATGACAATGGATATTCTCTGGTCCTTGGGCACTTCTCCTGTCATCCAGGACCTTTCAAAGATGATGGAGAGTGGCTCAGCAATGACATTTGTCAGCTCCCTCAGCACTCATGGGTGGATTCCATCAGGGCCCATGGATCTGGGAGTGTCCAGATTGCTTAAATGATCTCTCACATAGTTCTCCTCAACCAAGGGAAGGTCATCTTTTCACCAGGCTTGCAATAATACATACTGCTTGCATTAAGAGCAGCAAGAAAAATGGTTGTTTTCTCCGAGTCAGCCTGGTGTAAAGGATCATATAAATAGGCCTAACTACTGAGTTATTAGATATTGCTATTATAAACAGTTATGGTTTATAGCAGCCTTTCTAAAAGTCAGTTTTGTCTGGATCTTTCTGAGAAGCCTGATCTGCTCACAGAGTTTGCTGTCTGTAGTTCAATTGGTTTAGAAAACAAACAAAAATGACTTAATTCAGTACTTAAACAATAAAATTATCACTAATCTGATTATGCCAGAGCACTGGTGAGGCGGAAACACTAAATGTGTAATGTTATTGCAACCAGCCTGAATATTTAATTGTAAAATGATCTTTGTATATCACTGGCATACTAATTGGTAGATGTTGAGTGTCTGAATTTGTGAAGTGCTTTTGCGAAGTGTTTGGAGATCCTTGGAGGAAATGTACCAGCAATTTTTAATGTCCCTTTAGGTCTAAGAGACATCAGAGTGTGTTTTATTTTTTCATTGTAAATATTATAGCAGTGCCAGCAATGGAGTATTTACTGCTTTTCATATGCGTGAGAATACTAAACATATGTATTTTTAAAGGAAATTCCAGAAGACTATGGATCTAGCTTGTAACAATATTTTGTATGTTTGTGTCCATTGTTTTCAAGAATATGTAAATTGTTACATTATAGAACTTGCTTTGAACTCTGCTACATAATTAGCTGCACTAAACATCAGTATTCAATTTGGAAAATCTGTAGCCAAGTGTTTTGTTAGAATTTCGTGGAAAAGGAGAATGTGAACAAAACCATAGAGCAAATAATCTGAAATGCAGTTAAAAATAATGAAAACCAAGCACCAGCCACATAAACACAGCAGATGAAGACACAGCAGATGAAAACACAGCAAATGAAGATCATAAAAAATAAACTGAAATAAAAACATGTAAAGCCAATCCTCAGCTGAAGTAAATAGGGACATCTGCACCACTCCGCACCAGGAGTGGTGGGACCTTGGTGATTTGCATTAGCTGAGGGTCTGGTCTGTGAAATTTATTACAAGTCTCATGTTTAGGCGGAAATGACAGTAACAGTAAAGGTTTCTTGGTCAACTGGTTGCGTAGGGCTCCTGCAGAAACTTGGTGTTCTGACAAACATCCTCCTGCAAATCCAGTTAAGTTGATTTAAAATAGCCCCTGTGTGCTCCCCCCTGCTCAGGGGCTGGCACGTGAAGACGAGTCCGTACTCAAACTGCTGCAGTGCACAGTCAACGTTTGAATAAAGTCCTGTAGCTGCATGAGTTGGTCTGATACCATTCGCACTGGTGGGTCTGAGGCCGGAGCACACATCCAACTTTGCTGACTGTCTTAAAAATTGGAATCATGAGCAGAGGAGCAGGACATGTAGCTGGCTGCACGGTGAACTGCTGCAGTTATATGCGGGGGGAGGAGGGGGAACACAACAGGGGGGGGACGGTTTCAAGCCATCAGTGTGATTGATCATCAAACCCCAAAATACTAGAAAAATGAAGAGAACAGTTAGTAGAGTTACAATTATTAGAATATATCGTGTACTTACCTGTGCAAGTCCAGGTATTTGCGTCTCCTTGCTTTGTCTTGCTAGGTACACCAGCTCTGATCGTAGTCTTTTCTGTGGTGTATATATCACCATGGCCTTTTTCAGCGCTCCACGCCCCAATCAGTTTCAAGATCCAACATGAAACTCAATTTACTTGCATCTCAACACCGTTCTTTCTAACATATATAAAACCCAGAGTGCTGGAGTTATTTGCTCAGCCAACTCCATCAGCCCATCTGGTTTTGTCTCTTACTGCTCTCACTTTCATGTGTGTCAATTCCCTCACGCATCTTCTTAAAAACATATTCAGCTGTGCAAGAGATCTTCCCTTGCCTCTTTCAAGACTTTCATTTAAGCGTGCACACAGAAAAATACAAATCCTAATCAACTTCATAAAGTACTGTAGAAGAAAACAATAACTCAGCCCTGTCAGGTTCTTACACAGGATCTCTGGTCATTATTTGAGAACTTTAGTTTGTGTTTTATCCTCCTGAAACAGGGACGGAAGAGTCTGTTATGCATCCTAAATGTTGCTGAATATGGTCAAAAGGGGAGCAAACACTATTAGTAATAAAGTTGTCGTCAGAGCATGTCCAAATTCTGACCAGTCAGCTCATTTTCCTCATGGGGAGTGTCGAGCTTCCTGTGCTGTCAGTCAGTCAGCCTGCCGACCTGACGGGGAAATGGTGCTGAAAAACTTAGGGGAAAATGGAAGAGGGGTGAGAAATTCCGTAATCCAAGGTGCTGTGCCCACGGCAGGAACACAGTCGCGTGTTGGTGTTTACGAAAGGCCTGGCAAGGCATGGTTCGATGGGAAAGAGGTGGGATTGTGTGGGTTCGTGTGGTGAGGCAAGGAACCGGGGGGGGACTTAAGCCTGCTTTCTACATCACAATTTCACATCTTTTTGCCAGGATTATCTGGAAGGTGTCTAGAAGGCTAGCAGAAGGGAGCTCCTTCTCGAGGAACAGCACCTGCCTGCAGAAGCAACAAGGAGGTCAGTAGTGGGTGCAGCAGAAAGGGCGCGGAGCGGGCTTTGGTTAACAAAGAATCAAAGACACAGCTAATTACACATCTTCAATAACAGAAAACCTATGGGAGGGTAGGACTGAGAAAGG